CACTTCTAGGAGAACGGGAGCGTTGGGTGCGGCTAAAAAAATATATGCTACGGTTCAAACTACTTTACTCATTTTATTTACTAAAATAGATAAATTAGGTTCGGACAAACGAGCTTCGGACAATCGGAGCCGTCTCCACTGAACAGCCCTTGGTGATCGCCCTGTACGGCCCCAGGCCAAAATTTTGTGGCCACAGACCGGGACATACCAAAACAACTTGAGCATTTCATTATGTGCTAAAGAACACATAACATGTTTGAAGGACAAAGGGGAAAAAAACAGAACAGTTAAAGTCTTCATTCAGTGACCAGTTTCATTTTCAGGTAGGTCATGACAAACTGATCACTTCAAAAATATGTAGAATATAACACTATACTAGATTCGTCAGAAAAATACTCTACTTCTCATTTTCAAGAGCAAAATAAGAGTTAAGAGTTGCACTCCCATTACTTCCTGCGCACTCTAAAACATTAACATGCAATGAGATCAGCCTTCATTTCTTATGGCACAAAGGTTCGCACACACTAAGAAACATAAAATTAACAAGTGACATCAGCAAAGAAATTCAGGTTACATTAAATGTCAGAAAAAGTAGGCACCTGTGTCACCCTAGAGTAGAGCAGTTTGTCTCCACATTTATTATCTATGAAAGAAGACTCATTTTGATTGGTAATAATAAATTGACATGTTAGAAATCACACACACATGGACCTATAACAAAAGATATGCAGTCTTGTAATCATATAGTAGTTACCGTAGTTGAATTACGTTTCCAAGTTTCACAAGGTGAAAAATTGTACTTAGGGGTGACTCCTTAATTTTAAAACACACAGTCTCCCGGGTAACTGTTCAAGCTAAACAGGCAGCATGAAGGACATTTTAACCGAAAGTCATAAAAAGTGTCCCTATTTCCAGAGACAGTGAGACTGAATTGTTAAATTTGGTCTTTGAACAACGGAAGCACTACTTTGCCTACATATTAAAATAAAAATTGTGGATGGTTTCCCACAAAACACATTACAAGCTGACTTTCATGAGAAATTTTTCACGTTCACAAGTATAAAAATAATCCAGGGAGGGAAATTACTTTTTCCCTACAACATCGTAATC